AAAGAGCAAGGCCGGCTTCGCCGTCTCTAGATGGTAATGGACAGCGTTAAGGTTGGAATGAAGTCCCCTGATGTTGCAAAAATTCACGGATAGCGTGACAGGGGTCGCCTTGGTTGTATTGCTCCGCTTGCCCCGAGCAGCATTAGTCACGAGCGGAATTTTGCCCCCCCCCAGAATACGCGGGGCAGCCTGAGCACCCACGCTCAGGAGTGAAGTAGTTTGTTCGTGGATGCTCAGCGAGGGATTCTCCAGGGGTGCTGGTACCCTCCTGGGGTAGTCTTGTATTTAATTCCACTACCATGTTGATGGGGGGGGGGGGGGGGGGATTGCGCCTCCGGCCACCTGCACTCACCAAACGCAACGCAGAGGTAAACCTCTACTTCACGCTGGTATTCTGTGAGGTCGTGGTATCACCCCGGTTCGAGCTGGCCCATCCGTGCGACAGCAAAAGCTACCGCTTGGATCTACCACTGTTAAATGTCAATCGTCTTACGAAGCACAGCAGCATTATGCTGCTTTTTAACGCTGGTATTCTGTGGGAGCTCGGTCCTTTTCAGTCGAGGCAATCCAATCGTCCGTGATCTTCTTGAGGTTTTCAATAAACTATGTATGTATCAGTTATTATTCCTACTATAAATATAAATAAAAAACCTTATAGTCTTCATTCATCCATCCCTTACAGTCCATAAAAGTCCACCGCTGAACATATTATGCTTCTTCCATAGGTTGTCTCCTAGAGGAGATTTTGCCACAGTTGCTACGTTTGGAAGACGGATTGGCAGCCGCAGTTATTTATTATTTTGAGTTGTTATTAGGAAGATGTTGCTGCTCAACTCTTGTTTCAGGTTCCATGTACCGCGTCGTACGACATTCACGGGTTAATATAGTGTAGTGGATATTTACATCACCACTACACGGTTAAAGAAGTCAGGTTAATAAAGAATTGCACGCCTCACAACGTGAAGGAGTGCTCTACTCTCGATATGTGGCCATACCTCAATTTCGCTACATAAAATCGTTCTTATACTCTTAGCTAAACATCGATTCCATATTATTATTAACGTTACAATAACTACAGACATTGAGTTATAAGATTAGTTTATTTTTTAATTGAGTCCTTTAGATTACATAACAAAAATGTAATTGAGAAAATTTATGGACTGCCGTCCGATGGTGTGTGCATCGGTGTCTTTTTGTTTAATAGAAATGTAAGCAATAGATTGAGATATATAGAAGGTATTAAATAAGATTCAATATATTCTAAGGAGGATCCCTGTTGATTTTTGATATTGAAATCAACACCGTTTAAAAGACAAAACTGAAATATTTATTTTAACAGTCTTTCTCAAAACCAAAGTTTTCAATAGGTTTCTCTTTTAAACAATTAGATATTAATTTTAATTTTTAACATAATAAGCGTGTGAGGCGTGCACTTTGGATCTTCCAAATTTTTATTACAGTCAGTTTTACAACATGCTAGACAGTGTTGGAAAACATCGTGAGGAAGCCTGAATGTGTGAGGAATATTTTTTTTAAATTTCGAGGACATGTTAAGTTCGCCAGCACGTATTGGAGCAGTGCGCGGGCCAATCGCTTCATAGCTTTCTAAGAAATAAGAGAAGGCCTGAGCACGGTACATAGGCTGTAACTTTAACTTACTTAAATATGTTAAAAATTAATAAGTTAAGATCCGTATAATAAACGATATGATTTGTCATACCGAGTTTAAAGAGCACCTCCATAATCCCAGCATCACAACTCCCACAACCCAACACTAGAATAGTGGTGATGGGGATAGTGCACGCCATTGCGTGGATGCGGGAGGTGCTCTTTAAGCTATGTAGGACACATTATTTTATTTTATTACGTGGATCTTATCTAATTTACTTGTATCGTCTTTATTAAGATGGATTTCCGCAAAGTAACGCCTACATCTATTAATTATTTTCATTTACGTCCGTATCAGAAATCACCCCGGGAATAGTTTAACAAGATAAGAGTCGAAGTGCGAACAGAACCATTGACGATTTTCATAAAACATTCTTTAAGCCACTAATCTATTGGCGATTATGCTTGTCTTTATTCTTTTATTTAAAAAAAAAAACTACTTCCCTTACGAATTTTTCTTATATCGTGAAGGATATGACTAAAGGCTAACGGCTACAGGACATGACCATGATCCCGTAAACGACATGGAAAAACACTTAACTAGGTATTTATTTACACAGAATAAAATTGTACCTACTGCTATGCGCCACCGAACCGTTACGTATACAAATCAATCGGCTCCCAGTATATTTATAGGCTAAATTTATTCAGGATGTTCAAGGAAACAAGGGAGGTTTGACGTCCCGGGTCAGTGACGTCATTACTAACTAGCTTTTAAGCCTCGGCAGTTTCATAACCGATTGTTTATTATGCTACTGACGTTCGTATTCATTTAATGTTAATTAATAATCTCCCACAACAACAGCAGTGCGGTTGCGATCCATTTGTTGAATGGAATGTCTTTATTACCAGTTATGTTTAGCTTCAAACTGTTAGTTAATTGTAAATTACTTATCAAATTAGTGAAACGTAATTATTGAATTTAATTTCCGTTTTTCACAATTAAAATTGTATTAATATTAAGGAATCTCCTTAAGAGATTATCTCTAAGAACTGGTAACCAGTGGAGTAGAAAGTTAAAGTGTAGAGTGACCTTCACAATAGATGGAGTAGGTAACGACCTGGTTAGATATTCGGAAATTCAATGTTTGGTGACTCAGGGTCGCGCTTTGTGGTAGTCTTTTTCTATGTTGAGCAATTTACTTGGTTAGTAATAAACCACGTCATTTTTTATGTTAACTAAAAATCTATTTTGTTGTCCCTGGAAATGCGTCTTTGATTACAACTTACCAACCAACTTGGAAACAGCAATTTTTTTATTGTGATTTTGCTGTTATAAGAAAGATGCCCTTGCTTGTCTCAGTTTCCCTCTGTCGTCTCTCGCGCGACACCCAAGGGATGATTGGGGTAGTGGATATTCTTACACCGCCACTACAAGGCAAAGTTTCAGGTATACCTCAAAACAAAATGGTACAAACCCTGGTTGTACCATTTTGTTACATACAAGCTTACAAGCTTACTTCTAGATTTTATCATAACGTGTTTTTCTTTTCTTGTATTACGTGGATGGGACAGGTACCTAAATATAACCACCTACACATTATAAATAAGCCTACCTATATATAATATGTTATATCTTTATAAAATTGTAAACTTTCGATAGGTCAGGTTTAAATCATTGTAGTCTTTAAATGCTAGCATTATATGTTATTACCGACTAGGTAAGTTCAACTACGATCGAGAGGTCAATCGACGGATTCAACTCGATTGGGCAGCGTTCGGGAAATTGCGACATATCTTCTCGTCAGATATACCTCAAAACTTGAAAACGAGACTGTATAACCAGTGCGTGTTGCTAGTTATGACTTATGGATCTGAGACGTGGTCCTTCACTGTTGGCCGTATGAGGAAGCTCAAGGTCACTCAGAGAGCTATGGAGCGAGCTATGCTCGGGGTTTCTCTGCGTGATAAACTTAGAAATAAGGATGCCCTCAGTAGAACCAGAGTGACCGACATAGCCTAACGGATAAGTAAGCTGAAGTGGCAATGGGCTGGCCATAATTAATACAAATGTATGCTTTGGCGCACTGGCGTAGTATAACCAGACACACAAAAAATTATAATGAACTGCGAGTACTTAGTATACATCATATTATGCGCCCTGAGGGTGTCTGCCGGGACTCCCAGTTGAGGGGCTGGCTTTGCGACCGGGACTGACTCGGGATACGAAGGGACGCGCAGACAATCAGCTACCCCTTCCTGCAAATAGTCTGTGGTGCATTTCCTTAATTAAAACGTCAGTCGTTTGTGATCGACTCACAGGGGTGTAATCTTTTGAAGCTCAATCAATTTTACCCACTTGTCATATTTTTTCTGAATACTATTTTTTAGTCGCGTGTTGAACATTACGATAAGTGTTTGTTTAAGATTCAGTTTGTAAAGAATTTTAATAAATATAAAAAACTACGGTTTTTAAATTGAAAAATATTACAATAGATTTCTCTATCTGTTTGTTTTTCATTACACTTGACTTTAAATTTTCTAGCATTTAGCCTAAAAGTTTTCTTACATTGCTCTAATGTATCTCTATGTAATCGTGAAATTTCATTACAAGCGGTTCAGGCATTTCGAAGATTAGCCCAGACAGACAGATAGACAGACCTACAGACAAATATGTTAAAATTGTTTATTCATATATGGCATGTAAATAACTGTTTTATTTATATGTATAAATATTAGTAAGTCATGCAGGCTTGGGACCGTGCTTTGTGGCATTCTTTGGAGGAGGCCTATTTCAGCACTGGACTTGTGAAGAGCTGTAATGATGATGATAATGATGATGAACATGATGAAAATATTATAAAATATATTTCCTTGATGAATCTCAAAGGTTAATGAAAGGGGTACGGTGGCTCTAGTGACCCGCCCTGCAGCAGAGATCAACCTATTAGTGATCTTCAGAAACTCAGATTCAGAAATGAAACATTATTAAAATTATTTTTTTAACGCATTTATAGATCCAAGCTCGGTAAAATCGAGGTGGTTCGCTAATATATAAAAGCCGTCATGGATTATTAACAAGAATGTAGCGAGCGGGAATAAAGGTTACAAGTATTAAGTTATTTTATATTTCCTCCTCAATAATACATAAGTATGTGATTAGAATATGTGGAACGGAGGCGAATCTTGTATCCGATAATTATTAAACGTATACGAGTATGTATTCAACGCACGAGCTCCGAGACGAGCTATCACTTCGTAATCTCCTTGGATAATAACAATATAGTATATTGTAATATATTAATGCAATATTTAAATATTTATTATTAATTTTGGATATGTAACAAGCCAAATAGACTTTCCACAATCGATGACGTTATAGATGTTGCAATTCACGAAATCGGGCGGGCTTTACTCGTGGTTGAATGTGTACATGCACACAGCGTTAGTGTGGGTGTTGAAGGAGCAATCAGTTGCGAGCATGCCGTCGCTAACCATACCTGCTTTTGGCACAGAATAAATAATAGATTTTGGTCTCGCGCACACCTTGACACGTGTTTACCACAAGCAAAGCCTGCACGACTTCGTGAATTGCTCGTGAAGGTGGTAGGACTTCTTTTCTGCCTACGAGTCTGTATGAGTAGGTGCCACGACCTTACCTAACCTAACCTACTGCTCCCGCTAAATAGCAATGCTGTTTCTGTCTAAAGGGTTTAGAGAGACAGTTAATTAAAGGCTGTGAGGCGTTCCATCTTAGTCCTCAGAGGTAACAACGCATCTGAAGCCTATATTTGAAGTTGGTTGCAGGTTTTCATGGGCTCTGTGTACTTGTATTATTCAGTGACGATTATTTGGCAGCTGAGTTAATTACCGATCTCGCCATAGTAGAGCGGATTAACAGGTAATGGAAAGGTGAACTGGTGACCGCAATACTATATGTCTCCCACAGTAAGTCTGTTGGGGTGGAATTTAATAATTGACTTTGAACTAACTTTCACTCTAAAGTCTAGGAGGTGTATGTCAAGTAGAGAATTATTCAAGGCCTGAAGGGCTGATCTGATGAAGAAAACAGAGTGAGGTTATTAATTTTTCAGTTAGGCTTTTATCTAATTGAAAATTGATAAAAAACTTACAATTTTTATTTGATTAAGGTATCATATCAAAATTTCATAATTTTTACGTGGTAGAGTCATGCTGCAGCTATATTATGGTTGTAACACGAATGTGTCGTCTCGACCGGGGAAGGACTACGCTCTCACAGAATAGCAGCACAAAATAGCAGCTTAATAGTGCTGTGTATCGTAGGTGAGTGTGGAGAACCGGAGACCCTTGTTACTGAATAGTACTCAGGGGTGACAATGCATGTGTATTTTGATTCTAAAAGTCACATAATTAAACGATATTCAACTCCAAGATGTCGTAAAGTCTTGTGGTGTGAGTCACTTTGACATAAAGTGTGATAGAGACAGTACAAGACTTAACGACACAGTATCCTGATAAGTCCACCTGATGCCAAGTGGAGTCTGTGGGCCACAGTATCCACTTGGCATCAGGTGGACTTTAGGTCTATTAAAAAAAAGGTATACGAAGATAATCTATTAATATAGAACATGTATTAAAATTAGTGTTATTCCTGTCTATTGTTCACAACGACTTGGCATTGAACATCGAAACGGGTGTGGAGCGAAGCGGCCCGCTCTGCAACACGCTGCGGAATGCTGCAGGAATTTAATTACTGTCTCGGAAGTGAAAAATGCCCTCGACATGCGCCCCTCTACCATGAGTTGTTATTGAACCGCGTGAAATTCACACTGCGCTGTACATTACCGGCCTTTGTCATTTTAAATTAATTATATCATAGGTTAACTCTGTTAAGTTAGCAGTAATGCACAGCGACAAAAGTTTTGTCTCTGTAAATTTATTTGAATGTGGAATATTTAAAGAGTTTCTTTGTAAGTGGTACGAAGTTACTAAACGATTTTAAATGTCCGTTTTCACATAAATTACTTCGGCTTCGGGTGATTTCTAGATGTCGACAATATCGCGACTTACCGGGTCCAATTAAGAATCTAATCATCATCGAAGGTCGCACTCAAACATAACAATTTCGTAAAAATCAATGTGACAAACACTCGCTTGTTGGACTATGATCGCATTGGATGATAATTGGTGATGAAGTCTGTAGTGTAAACCTATCGTATAGTTTAGTAAAAATCTATGAATTCGTTAACATTAAAACTTTCCGTTCTAAAATGAGTTCTACCCGTGCAAAAAGTAAAAAATCGACATCGCCCATAGGACAGAAGTTTTGATACGAGATTTTTGAAATCGATATAGCGACATTTGTCGACGGTCAGAAACTTTTTCATTGGTCAACGTTACTAATAACCTTCAGACCGCGGTCACTCCACGGTTCTACCATAACTATCTGTGCAGAACAGGAGGTTACGCGCAAGCACAGATGCACTCTTTATTCTTTAACTCCAATAATCCGTTGGGACGACAATCCTAATGAAGGGATATCAGGACCAATATCATGTGCTTTCGGAGAGTGAAACACCTATATACCTATTTACCTAACTTTGGGTTAATACTGAGAATTTCTCGACAGAATTAAAAATTACTGAGCCGACCCCTACGAATCTGGAACCAGATGATCAGCAGTCATGCTTACGGCCACGAGTAACGAGGCAGTTAGCATCATACTTTCAAAACGGACCGCGCAATGTATAAGTGTCATTGCAAAAATGACGTCACGGTGGTTGGTCCTGGATTTTATTTCCGCAACGGGCCGCCGCCGCGTCATAACTTTCCGATTTGTTTGAAGTCCGAAGAGAATTTATTCGTTTTTTACCTACCCGGCAATTAACAACGCGGGGAAGCGGATTTTTATTAAGGTTTATTAACATCGACATTTAAATGGCGTTAGTCCGCCTATTCCATTGTTTTATTAACAGGTACCTTTTGTACATTATTGTTTATTAAAGGCTTACAGAATAAGTTGTTAGATAAATAATGATTTCTTATATTTACACGAACACTACTTATTTAAATAAAACTATTTTTTTTAAGGATTTTATCGCGTGCGTATATTAACTTATTTTAAATTCCCGACATTTCGGGCACTTAGAGGGCACTAGAAGGGTTTACTGAGGTGTTTGACGTCCCAATGTCATAGTTAACCACGTCTACTTCCAGATTAAAATTATTAATTTTTGTTCCGATCTACACAGCATTTACTTATAGTATCTTGAAGTCTTGCAGATGGTAGCACCCAGCCATCTTCTCTATTGAAATTAGGATTTTTTTTTATTTCAATAGCTTCGTGAATCATCCTTGGAAGTAAACGGTGTTCTTTAGCGAGGATTTGTGATCTATCAAATCTGATGTAGGGGCGGGGGTGATCCTGTTAGTGTTCACAGACTGCAGACTTCCCGGACTGTCGATTCTTCACATCAGCTGTGTGTTCTTTAACGCGGGCTTATATTGATCTTTTAGTTTGTCCTATGTAAGAGAGACGACATTCACAATCAAGTTTGTATACTCCTGAATCTTGCAGAGGGAAATTACACTTGACTGATTGTAAAAACTGACTACTTTTCTTCGGCGGCTTGAAGTATGTTTTAATGGAAGCGCGCTTCAAAATATAGCCAATCTTGTCAATGACACCTCTGATATATGGTAGTACAGGAGGCACACGCTATCTGTAAGTTGGTGATTCGATGTAACTCATTTGATTTGCTGATAATTTAACGTCATCAGGCGCATAAAAAGGCATCCCTATTGAACGAAGTTCGAGGGGGTTGCAATGGGATTTATGCATGGTAGAGCCACGCTGCAAGCTATGTTCCGGTTGTAGCAGGAATGGGTTGGCTTTGACCAGGGTAGAATGACCGGAAAAAAGGAACTCTCGCATAATACCATCGTAAAATAGCAGCTTAATGCTGCAGTGTTTCGTATAGTAGGTGTAGAGTACTGGGTTCCCTTTTTACTGGATACGAGTCAATTCATCTTAGTCTTCAGGGGCGACAACGCATCAGCATTTTGATTCTTAATCGAGGATAGTGTATGATGTGTTTATAGGCCACAGTATCCAATTACCATCAGATGGGCAGAGTGCTCGCTTGTCATCCTTATTCTAAAAAAAATGAATTTAGGACTGTTTAGACAACAAAGTTTGATTGTAGCGGGGAATGTCATTTTCCAAATTGCTTAAATTATTCACCATCAATTTTAATACTTTTCATTTAAAACTAGGTAAGTACAAATATTTCAAATACATTTTCCACAAGCCGTATCCGTGCAATAATTGAAACTCAGACCGCTGAAAGGTAGTCTTTACGTCAGTGCAATAAGGTCCAAAGCGTGCCCGTGTATTATATTCCACTGTATCAATGCGGGCCAATGCCGTTTGAAATATTAGCATTGCTCCGCGGCAGCACCTGCGCTAATTATGCGATTAATTTCAAAGTGGGGTTCGCAGGAATAACAAAAATAACTCGGTCCTAGTGAAGGTCCATGGGACATAGGCATTAGAGAAAGGATTTGTCTTTAATTCTACGCTTGGCTGGCAGACTTGCGATCGTAATAGATGTCTCTCACCTTTGACTTGTAGTCTAGCGTAATGAATGGTTATATTAACTAACGAAGTCAGGAGATCTTGCTGATATGGAAACAAGTGGTAAAATTAAAAATTTTGTACAACCGATTTTAATATAAATAAAATGAGAACATCATCAATGTAGTCAATGAAATATGCATTATTAAGAATAACTAAAAAAACTACATGAGAAGCTTTCAAATAAAAAAAGAACCATCAAAGTCGGTTGACCTAAAAAAAAGTTCTGTGACAAAAAAACGAATTGAGTACCTCCTACTTTTTTTGAAATCGGTTAAATAGTCGCCTCTTAAAACACTGATGGTACGAAATGGGAAGATATATTTTCTTACGTTGCTACCACATGTTAGTTTACATGTCTCTTGTTAATTGGAATAGAAACAGAAATAGATACTTTTTTATTCAATATAGATTATAAATAATACTTATTGAAAGTCACTCTCATGTCTTATCAACCACTGGTTCGGAAAATACCTCTGTTTAGGGAAAAACTGACAAGAAAACCAGCGGAATATTTTTTTTTAAAACTAGATACAGTTTACAATCCTTAAAGTTAAACAGCAATTAACAACACAAAACAAATTAGAACTAGCTTGGTAGCAATCATCTCATACCCATTGGTTATTTTCATCTATAAATTCTTTAACCTTATTATATTAAGTCTTTTTATAAAATATTTGTTTAATAAAGTTTTTAAGTTTGGCGGAAGTCAGATTTTGTTTATATCCGGGATTTTGTTGGAAATGCGTATATCGACATCGCTCCGAGAATGAATTACTGCCTGTAGAGTGATTGTATAATTTAATCACCTTGTGGTGGCGTCATTCTGCTTGATCACCTTTTTAGGCTTTGATTTATATGTTGTACTTATACTTTTTAAATCAATATATTTGGTTACGAAATGCCATAAAGGTCTTTAGTCCCTACGTAGTTAATATCTTCCGAACATTTGGAACTTGTTCCTAGCTTCAAAAATCTACCGGTAGGATTGGGGCTTTTATTATTTGACTGCTGAGGCGAAGTACCATTTAGCGTAATTCTTAATCGTATACCTACTGTACCTCCTTCCATCACAGGATAGTTTGGTTTCCAATCGACATCAAAAATAAATAAACAGTTTTTGATTTATAATAAAATATTTATTATTTATTTATTTTATTGAAGTAATGGTGGTTGCTGTGGTTCATAGACATGTACATCTATCCTCGAAAAAGAATTAAAATGCAGATGCATTGTCACACCTGAGGACTAAGATGGAATGCCCTCATTGCAGTAAAAGGGGTCTCCGGTTCTCTACACTCCTGCATACGAAACACAGCAGCATTAAGGTGCTATTGTGAGTTTCGTAGGGTTACTAGTTGGTAGACTTCATTTTAGTCTGGGTCGTATCATTGTCTGGTTACGTATTACCATTACTACCATTAATTTACCTGTTTCTACTGTATTCTTACCTAATATGACTGCTTTGTTCCGATCTGAGGGTAGAGAGAGCCAGTATGATAACAGGAGGTGAGGACATTTAGTCCTCACAGGTTATAGCGTATCTGTAACCCTCTTTGATTAAAGTTGGTTGCAGGTGTGCATGGACTGCAGTAGCCACTTACCATCGCTGTAAGTTCGTTTGTTGAATCACTTTCAACACAAAGTACGTTCAAAACTTTGTTTTAATAGTATTGTTTGGTTTTCATATTAATTTTTATGATGTATATTTCCACTTAATATAAACCTAAATGTCGGTTAATTTTAACTAGTACACTCATAACTCGTTTAAAAAATATGTTAATTGAATTTAACTTCACATTTCACACAACATTAATTCAGCCGGTATACCTCTTGGGCGATCCGCTCGGGTAAGTCGAGCCGTCAGAGGCCAGACCTCGACCGAGGACACTCCACATTATACGCGAAAGTTCAGAGAAATGAGCACAAACGAAATTTCGCCTTCGCCAACGAAACAATGTAACAATAGTAGCCGTTCTATTGATAAATGGTGGCTTTGAGTTTAATACAAATTTTAGCCTTAATTACCTAATTTGTATTCTACAATGCAAATACTTTGTATTGGATTGTATTGTTCGGGTAATTAAAATATAATGAAGAAGACTTGAGTACTTTTCTTATATTATTACTAGCTGCCTAGGCAAACGTTTTTCTGCCCTTATCGACAACCCTTCGTATAAAAAATCCTTAAATTCGCAATAAGAAATATTGAGTGTCACTTATCAAGATAAAAACTATACTATCTCTCAAGTTGGACCAAACTGCACACAGTGTGCAAAATTTCATTGAAATCAGTTCAGTAGTTTAGGAGCTCATCGCGGAAAAACAACGTGACACGTATTTTTTATATATAAAGATTACAATCCATTTCCATCACAACCTATAAAAGTCTACTGCTTAACATAGGGTTCTCGCATAGATTGCCTCATTATTTTTGCCATAATTTTGCATGGCTGGCGAGTTGGCAACCGCAGTTTTTTTTATAATTTTGCGTTGTTATCATAAAGACGCCGCTGCCTGTCTACTAGTTTGATTGTCTTTGTCGCCTCTTACGTCACTCCGGGACGATTAGGGATAGTGAGCATTCTTACACCGCCACTACACGGTTGATTGTTATCATTAAAATCGTTGACGTCTTTTATTTGAAACGCTGATTAGTTAAGCGGGAAATAGAGAAATAAGGTCTAGCAGTGGATTCTTAAAGCATTCATTAGAAGCGCAAGTAGGCAACAAACTATTTATTTATTAAGTAAACTAAGCTCTTTATAGAATAAGGGTGAGAAACGAGCACACTTGCCACCTGATGGTAAGTGGATGATGTGGTTCTATTACCTATTTCTACCACCAAATAGCAATGCCTGCACTACTATATTGTAATCTGAAGGGTAACTAGGGGCAGCATAATTACTAGCCATGAGGCACTCCATCTTAGTCCTGAGGCTGGCTGCAGATGTCCAAGGGCTGCAGTAGCCATTACCATCAGGTGCACTGTTTGTTTATCTCGAACGGTGAAGGGCCACGCGCTCACAGAATATAAGCGTGAAATAGCAGTATTATGTTACAATGTAGCATTGTTGGTGTCTTTATAATGGTACATTCTCGAAAAGCCCACGTCCACTCGTGGACTTGAAAGAGCTAGTGATATATGCAATAACGTAATTTTATGTATTCAAATTGTTCTTGTGCTGACGTGTGAAAACTTTAAAAAGTAAATAAAAATTCAAAAAAGTAAAAGTTATACGTGGTAGAGCCATGCTGCATCTACATTAGTATTATAGTTGTAGCACAAATAGGTCG